ATCTGCCTATTCTGCTCCCCACTCTGTCTCTGGTGAAGCCTCTCACCGCCCCTGAGCCTCTGGCCTGTGCCCCAGTTCTGTATGTATAAATAAATAAATCTTTTAAAAAAATAAATAAATAAAAAATTTAAAAAATGATTAAACCAAAGTGAAACCAATAAAATGTACTGCTTGCCTAAATTCACACCACCAGGATAACTAACAGAATCTGATGGGACTTTCTTTGATAACTGGTTCCAAACACCACTTAATGGTCTTAAATAAACATTTTGTATTACTGGTACATAAATGATGATGTGCCCTGTAAACAACAGCATCTTGCCTCATGCTACTTGCATGTTAAGATTCCCACTAAACTTTCTCCTGACTCCTAATGTATTTTCTCCTCTAATTGTTAGATCTACTGAGTGAATGAACCTAAGAATAAACACTGACACACCCATACTTGACAAAGATGACATTGGTTCTCAAGAAATAATTTAAAATATCAAGAGACCCCTTGATATTTAGGGGTCTATATTGATATAGACACTGTCTTCCACGAGAAAGTGGAAGTCATTATCTCCCACTTGGCTCACTGGCTCTTTTCTTGTGATTCCATTAAGATGTACACTTATGTATTAGAAAGTTGTTAAGTTTTTCAAATAGAGAAGCTTACTTGAAAAAATCTACAGCCAAAGAGAAAAGGAAACCTCTGGCTTCTGTGAGGTTTCACATCCCCTTACTTGGCATTTACCTTCCCATTTTCTCTGTGGATGAAAATCGTAAGATATCTCCCAACAGAACCACACCAATAAGGCCATTACTCTAGTAATTGTCTTAAAACAGTTGTAGGAATTTAAAGAACTAACCTCCAGCAGCAGCAAGCACTATTCTTGGTCCCTTGTAATGTGTGGTTATATAGTCCACTAAGTCCTTACGATTTATTGATCTGTAAATGGAGAAGAGCAGTATTAAAAGGTAATAAAGCATAAGTTTTCACATAATATACATGATATACCTGAAATCAAAGGAAGCCAAGGGATGGATATCCTGTATTTTTTTTCTTTGAATAAATGTCTTTTTGAGACAAAAGAAAAAGTGTATATAAACACACTCAGCTGAAATTAAATTGGATCTTAAAGGTAATTTAAGAGTTAAATGCAGTCAGAAATGGGGTGTAAACAAGTATCAAAAATCAACTTTATATGAAGAAAAACAATTTGATGTCATCCAGAAATAGCTATAAGCCCAGACACCTGGGATTAAAACATAACTATAAATTCAGATTATTAGTTACTTTCTGAAACACACTTTTTGAATGTGTTTTTGTAACTCATCAATTTTTCCCCAGAAAATCAGATAATATAATAATTACTTGATATTTTCAGTTGGTCCCAAAATTGTCCGTCCAAGTGCAGTATTTTGATAAGCTGTTGCATGAAGGTAATCAAAAACAACTTCTTGTAAATTGGTTTCCACTTCCTGCATCTCTCTAAGGATTACTCCACGTTCACGTTCAATCTCTGCCTCTCCCAATGTGCTGTTTTGTATTATATCAGCAAGAATTTCTACAGCTAATTGAAAATAAAATATGAAGAAGAAACATTAAGAACCCTAATTTTCACCACTAAGATATTAAACAAGCATCAAAAACCATACTACTGACCATGATTCAACACTGACTAAATGATTAAACTGGGAAGAAACAAATTTCCTATATATTCAATATACCTAGAAGGACAAGTAAAAAATGTAAACCCCTGTGTTATGGAATGGCTTGGGGAAAGTTTCTAAATTTGCCTTGTAACTCTTGTGAAACTATCTCCAACCACAAAAAATGGCCACAAATCTACGTACGATGTTCTTTATAATTAGAAAACATTAGAACAACTAGGTAGAGGTAAGAGTCCATACTGCTCAAGTATTTACTAAACAAGTTCCCACTGCAGTGAGGCTACTGCCATAAAGAAGCCAGAATCATCATAACCTACATATGCGCCCAGGAAACTAATTATAAGATCAGTATTCTCTCAAATATATTTCCCCACTGAATTTAATCCCAATGCTTATCCCCTCCCCTTTTGGTCAGTGTTGTCTAGATTCTTTACCATTAGCAAAGTCATTGATAAGTAATGATCTAACAGAACTGAAATTGCTATTAACTAAAGAATAGGCACCCCAAAAAGACATATAACCATGAAAGGGATTGAAAGGACCCTTGGGAAAAACTGATGAAACCTTCAATGCCCTAATTTTACTGCTATGAAAACAATCAACAGCCTTCTAAGTGAACCTTTGCTTATTTTGCTCAGGACCAAGAGTTTTGTATCAAGCATGGAATAACAACAATTAAAAATGTTTCATAACATAGGTATGGCTGGCTCTGGAAGAAGTATATTCAAATCAAGTGCCAAGGCCTTGATGTGTGTATGTCTTCCAGGCCTAGAAACATTTTATATCATTTGTCCTACTTGAGGAAACAATAAGATGCTCCCTCAACCAGAGACTGTTTGATTTTTCACATTTCAAGGGGTTACTCATCACAACATAAAACAGTACTAAATTACTTCTGAATCCTCATGATAATTATATATTTGTAGGATAAATAGTGACAGTACCTCTTGGCAAATCTTTAGAGAATGCTTTGGCATAATATACAGTCTGCTCTCTGGAGGTATAGGCATTGAGATGAGCACCCATGTTTTCAATCTCGAGTTCCAGATCTAACTGAGATCTCTTTTTGGTGCCCTGAAACAAGAGATGATAAAAATTGTGACATTTTCCTTAACATCTTGTCTGTCTGAAACACTTTAAAGAACCAAGAGGCTATAAGTTTTTATCAGTTCCATACAAGGAATCAAGTCTGGTTTCTAAAATACATCGGGCTTCAGAAAACATGCTATATATCCAGATGACCCTTAAATCTCAAGAGAAAAGCCTTGTTTCACCTTCAGAGCCATTATCAATTACTTCAGATAATCCTGGATTATAAATAATAAAACCATGCTATAAACTGAAATAGTTCTCCTTGCCTTAGAGTGAAATTTTGTGCTACCACCTCTTATTTAAAGAAATTGCATTTTATGGAAGCATATGGTCCGCAATTCCACATCTAGGAATCTACCCAAAGGACACTGAAACACTAATTTGAAAGAAAACCTATACTCCCCCTTTTTTTTTTAATTGCAGCACTTTACAATAGCTAATATATGGAAACATCCCAGATGCCCTAAAATAGATGAATGGATCAAAAAGCTGTGTATATTTATACCATGGAATAGTACTCAGTGAAGAAAAAAGACAAACTCATGCCATTTGTATTAATATGGATGGAGGTGAAAAGGATGCTAGCCTAAATAAATCAGACAGAAAAGATAAATATTGGATGGTTTCTCTTACATGTGGAATATAGAGAAACCAAACAAAACTGAAAGTTAACCTATCTATATGTTGTAAGGTGGTGATAAAAAAGACACTCATCCACTGTTGGTAGGAATGCAAACTGGTACCAGTGGAGAACAGCACGGAGACTTCTCAAGAAAATGGAAATCCCATATAACCCAGCAATACTTCTCTATTATTTAATACAAAAAAGAATGTATCTATACCTATGTACACAGCAGCACTGTTTACAATCACCAACTCACAGAACCAAACCAAGTGCCCTTCAACAGATGAAGAGAAACTTTGAAGCATATGTCCTCCATGGAGTATTATACTGCTATGAAAAAGACAAGCCTATGGCATTCAGGATAAAAAGGATGAACCCTGAGGTGATTGTGCTGAATGAAATCAGTCAAAAAGTGATAGATTTCAAATGACTTTACTCATCTGCAGAATATAAATGCCCAAAAAGCATTACAAATGATAGAAGAAATAAAGCTTGAACTCTGAAAAAAGAAGATAATGTTATCAAAGGGAATAGAGGGAAAGGAAGATGGGGATGGAGGAGAGGGACAGATAGGGTACAGCTATGTTTAGCTTGGTGGAAGAGGAGGGAAAAAACATTGTACACACTGTATCCTAAATGAAATCAGAATCTTAAGACTTAGGCATCTGTATTTTAAGCTGGATTGTATATTGCATATATTCAAACTTCTTATTACAGCATAGTTCTGTCCAATGGATGATAACATTCTGTCTTCCTGAAACAGATTTTGAGTAATCTGAATTTGTAAAATTCTTAGAAAACCTGGGCTATACAGGTAGCAAGGAAATACATAAGTATGGATTTACTGAATCAGAGAAATTCTAATTCTGGAAACATTAAACATTTGTAAAATTTCATAATGACTAGCAGTAAAATAACTGATTTGAAATCCAATATTTAAATCGAAATGCATTCAGAAATTACAAAACAAAATTGTGAATATATTCAAGATTTACTTTCTATTGTTAAAATGAGGTGATGTCATTAACAGAATGTTAATAATTGATGAAGCTGGAGACTGACCATGTTGGAGCTTCTATGATCATTTCTGATTTACTATGGTTGAAATTTCAATAAAATGCTTTAAAAAGCTTAAGAAAATTCTTTAAAACTTGCCTTGAAAGCCATATGCTCCAGAAAGTGAGCTGTTCCATTATTCTTCTCATTTTCATAGCGACTTCCAGCATCAATCCAGAGCCCAACCTTTAAGGAAACAAAGAACAGTCATTTTCTTTCTTGAAGTGGAAAGGGGGGTAGAATGAAATTTCCTCCCTTTTTCAGACAAATGCTTTTCAGTTTAACAAAAAGCTTTTTTGACCTGAGGGAATTAACATATTCCTATGAGATTTGAAATTTTTGTCATCAGCGTACTGCCAGGTACAACTACTGTATACTTCCAGCTTCCCTGAGGATCCAGAGTCTTAGCCCAACTTGTTACTATAGTAAATTAACAACTATAACATAAAAACCACCAGAGATTAACAGAAAATCAAGGTTCAAATCCTGGTTCTGTCGTGTATAAGCTTTGTCACCCTGGATAAAATCTTTTAAATTCTCTGAACCTGTTCCTCAACTGCAAAATTGGTCTGGTGATAGCGACTACAAAGAACTGTTTTAAAGATCAAATGAGATATAAAAAATTTGCAGTGTAGCCCAGCAAATATACCCCTTCCATTATCTTCAACTAATAACATAACATGAACCCGATATAGACACACAGGAGCACCTGTACTGGCAAGGAAGACTCACTAGAAGATGGGGTTCACAACTGAGAGTCACCTGACAGGGCAAAATAGCAGCCCCTATCTTTCAACCACCAGCCAACTTAAAAGCTGAGACTGAAAATCAGCAACTCTCTCTTAAGGATTGCCTGGATCACCTACCGTGCACGTTGAGAGCCCGGAGTCTTCCGAGGCCACTCTGAGCCCATTTTCCAAGCAAGTTACTCGCGTTTCAGGAACGTTCAGAACAACTTCTGCAGCAGCCTGTGTACTTCTCAATCTGTTGCATCCAAGGTACAATGACTAGCCAGGAATAGAAGGTGGAAAAGAGGGGGCAAAACATATCACTATTCTGACATTATACGTTGATTAGAAAACAATCTCAAAAAAGACTATAAAGTACTCTTTCCTCAACTTCTATTCCATCAGGAGCCCTAGGCCTGGCCCACGGAGTGTCAGTAACCAACCACGCAGATGAGGCCAAAACCACGCCCTTCCCTTCGGGAAAATGCAGTTACTGTCCAGAGGTAACATTGCAATCTCTCCTAGAAATGCTTAATATTCACCGGGGGCGGGAAATGGAGGGGAGAAACCGAGAGAGAGAAAATATGTAAAAATAGCTATACATAATATAGAAATGCTTTTTATGCCTTAGCTGGGTCAAGAAATGCAAAAAGTTTGGACAAAGACGCTAAGAAGACGGGCAGATGCAGGGCCCCAGTTTCCTTACGCAGCTGGTCCGGCCCCCAAAGCCTGGGAAAGTCAGACTCGCCCGTTAGCAAAACGCACATACAAAATTTTCCTTTAGCTGCCACAGGGTTCGCAAAAAAGCGCAGATGAGGATAAAGAAACTCAAGTGTTGGGCACAGCAGCACTCGGGACAGTAACTGTAACCGTTTCGCTTATAGCCCGTTTGCTTCTGCGCTGAGCACGCAAGCTGTAGGCACAAGCTCCTCGGTACAGCGGGGAGAGAAGCCAGTCCCCAGGGTCCTTCCCACACGTGTGGCAGGTCACGCGCAGCTAGTGACCAAAGCCGGCCGGCCTCCGGGCGCCCCGCGGGTCGCGTCCAGGGGTCGCAGCCCGAAGCCCCGACAGGGCGTGCGGCGCCGAGGTCCGCGGCCAGGCCGGGCGTCCGTGACTCAGGCCGAAGCGCGGGGTCCCGCGGGGAAGCCCGGCCGGAGTGCAGCCAAGTGGAAGGAAACTCACCCGCCCGGCTGCGCCTCGGGCCAGAAGCCTCTCCGGGAAACCCCAAAGCTGCCGCCGCCGCGCCGCCGGCAACAGAACGGCTCTAGCAGCAGCCGCCACGGCCGCCGCCATCCCTGCTCGGGAGAGAGTGGAGGATGTGCTTCCGGTTTGTGACCTGAGGTCGCGGGGGAGAAGGCCCCGCCTTGTGGTCGCGACGGGAAAGACAGTCCGCAGAGCCATTTGGGAGGAGCTGTGCTGGGCGTGGCGCCGAGAGACCCTGTATTAGCAAGTTACTTTTTTCGATCTACAATGTGCGAGATACAAATGTGAAGGAATTGAAGGCAACATATTATTCCACTGGTGACTGATGTTGATTGCAAAAAGTTAGGATACAATCCGGACTCACTGTAATTGATGAATTTTACGTAAGCTATCAATTACTTTTTTTTTTTTTAAAGATT